GGAAAGAACCTTGGTGACCTCTGTGCCTCCTGCAGTGCCCCTCGTGTCCAAGATGTGCCCAAGTGACGTGTATCGCGTGTGGAAGCGGGGTGAGAACCTGCGGGTGGACACCAGCCTCCTGGGCTTTGAGCACATGACCTGGCAACGCGGCCGGAGGAGCTTCATCTTCAAGGGCCAGGGTGAGCTCTGGGGGACTCCCCGCAGGCACGCAGCAGACCAGGGCCCCCAGCTTCTCCCGTGGCTTGTGAGGACAGTGCTGTCCTCTGTCTCTATCTCCAGATGTGTAAATGGAGGTGGGGGTGGAGGGCATCCAGAGGCTGAGGCCACACCCTGTAGCAGGAGGTGGCTGAGGGCACCACGATAGCCCTCTGGCCACTGTCTGGTCCTGGCACTTATTTGTCCCCCTCACACCCCCACGCCGGCTGGCAGAGGCGGGAGCCTTGGTGATGGAAGTTGACCACGACCGGCAGTTGGTGCACACGGAGACACTGGGGCTCACGCTGCACGATCCTGAAGCGCTGCTGGCCACCTTGCGGCCCAGTGAGGAGCATGTGGCCAGTCGCCTCACCTCTCCCATCGTCTCCACCCACCTGGACACTCGCAATGTGGCCTTCGAGAGGTTAGTTGGGCCCTGGCCACACCGTGGGTAGTGCCCTCGAGCCTCTAGTTCAGGCTTCTGGGAGGCTGAGCCCCTCGCGGAGGCTGCTCGGGAGGGGGAGGGGGGTCCCTGCAGACCCAGTGTCTCTTCTGGACCACCTGCTGGTCCTGGGTCCTGTGGCACCTTCCAGCTCCTGCACGCCTGTCTATACTGGCAGCTGTCTCCCTGGGAGGAGGCTGGGTCAGGGAGTCCCCAGTTTCCTGACTTCTGACCTCACGTGTTTTCCCATAAAAACAAGGATTGAGGCTGCCGTGCAGGGCAGCTGTTTGCAGCAAGGTCGGCTTCTCAGCGGTGCAGCTGTGTCTGGGCCAGAGTCCTTTGTGGGTAGCCTAGGAGCCCACCCTTCCGGCAGGGTGTTATTTCTCTGACAACATGTGCCCCAGTTCCAATAACAGACTTCAGAAACACTTTTTTTCAAAAAACAGCTTTCTTGAGATATAATTTTGTATACTGTACCATTCACCTATTTAAAGTATGCAATTCAGTAGTTTTTAGTATCTTCACAGACACGTAACCGGTACCACCGTCCGATTTTAGAACATTTTCGTCACCTCAGAAAGAAACCCTGTACCCTTTAACAATCAACTCCCGATCAACTGCCTTTAACAATCAACAATCCCCTCCCCCCCAGCTAATCTACTTTTTGTCTCTATAGGTTTTCCTGTTCTGGATTTTTATATGAATAGAATAATACAATATGTGTGGTCTTTTGTGACTGGCCTCTTTTGCTTAGCGTAATGTTTTCAAGGTTCAGCCAAGTTGTAGCATGTAACTGCTGCATTCCTTTTTATGGCCAGGCCCGCTGCACGAATATCCCACATTTTGTTTATTCATTCGTCCATAGACGGACATAAGGATTATTTCCACTTTTTGAATGTTGACTATTTGACTATGAAGAGTGCTGCTCTGAACGTTAGTGTACAGGTTTTAGTGTAGACATACATTTTCTTTCTCTTGGGTATTTACTTGTGAGTGGAATTGCTAGGTCCTGTGGTGACATGTGGTAATTAAACACAGATGTTTAATTGTTTGAAGAGCTGCCAGACTATTTACCAAAGGGGCTGCAGCATTTTACATTCCCATCAGCGGTATATAAGGGTTCTAATTTCTCCACATCTTCACCAACACTTACCGCTCATTTATGTATTGATTTTGGTGTTACAACCGTTCTAGCAGGTGTGAAGTGGTATTCATTGTGGTTTTGATTTACATTTCCTTAACGACTAATGATGTTGAGCATCTTTTCATATGCTTATTGGCCGTTTGTATATCTTCTTTGGAGAAGTGTCTATTCAGATCCTTTGCCCATTTTATCTTTTTCAAAAATTAATTAATTAATTTGGCTGCCTTGGGTCTTTGTTGCCGCGCGCGGGCCCCCACCAGCCGTGGCAGGCGGGGGCCACTCTTCACCGCGGCGCATGGGCTTCTCATTGCTGTGGCTTCTCTTGTTGCGGAGCACGGGCTCTAGGTGCACGCTGAGGGCCGTGGCCCGCAGGCCCAGTAGTCGCAGCTCGCCGGCTCCAGAGCACAGGCTCAGTAGTTGTGGCACACGGGATAAGCTGCTCCGTGGCACGTGGGATCCTCCCGGACCAGGGATTGAACCCGTGTCCCCGACATTGGCAGGTGGATTCCCAACCACTGCGCCACCAGGGAAGTCTCCCTTTGCCCATTTTAAAAATTGGGTTATCTTTTTATTATTGAGTTACAAGAGTTCTTTGTATGTGCTAGGTAGAAATCCCTTATCAGCTACATGATTTGAAAATATTTCCTCCCATTCTGTGGGTTGTCTTTTCACTTTCTTGATAGTGTTCTTTGAAGCACAAAAGTTTTTAATTTTCATGAAGTCCAATTTATCTATTTTTCCTTTTGTTGCTCATGCTTTTAGTGTCATATCTAACGATACTTTGCCAAATCCAAAATCATGAAGATTTTCCCCTATGTTTTGTTCTGAAAGTTTTTTGTTTGTTTGTTTGTTTGTTTGTTTTTGTGGTACGCGGGCCTCTCACTGTTGTGGCCTCTCCCGTTGCGGAGCACAGGCTCCGGACGCGCAGGCTCAGCGGCCATGGCTCACGGGCCCAGCCGCCCCGCAGCATGTGGGATCTTCCCGGACTGGGGCATGAACCCATGTCCCCTGCATCGGCAGGCGGACTCTCAACCACTGCGCCACCAGGGAAGCCCCTGTTCTGAAAGTTTTGTAGTTTTAGTTCTTACACTTAGCTCTTTGATTTATTTTGAGTTAATATTTGTATATGGTGGGAGGTAAGGATTCAACTTCATTCTTTTGCATGTGACTGTCCACTTGTTCCAGCACCGTTTGTTAAAAAGACTGTTAATTCCCATTGAATTGTCTTGGCACCCTTGTGGAAAAATCAGTTGACCAGAGATGTATGGGTTTATTTCTAGACTCTCAGTTCTATTCCAATGGTCTGTATGACACTCTTTGTGCACTGTCTTAATCACATGTTGCTTTGTAGTAAGTTTTTGAAATTGGAAAGTATAAGTCTTCCGACTTTGTTCTTCTTTCTCAGGATTGTTTTACGTATTCTGGGTGGGTCCCTTGAAATTGCATATGAATTCCAGATTCAGCTTGTCAATTTCTACAAAGAATTCAGGTGGGATTCTGATAGCGTTTGTGTTGAATCTGTGAAACAGTTTGGGGAGTATTGCCATTTTAATAATGTTAAGTCTTCTGCCACGAACGTTGGATATTTTTCCGTTTTAGATCTTTAATTTTTTTTCAATGATGTTTTGTAGTTTTCAGAGTATAAGTTTTACACTTACAGTAAATAAATTTATTCTAAGTATTTTATTCTTTTCGATGCTCTTATAAATTGAATTGTTTTCTTGATTACATTTTTGAACTGTTCATTGCAAATCTATAAAAATACAATTGATTTTTATATATTGATCTTACATCCTGCAGTCTTGTCAAACTCATTTTTTAGTTCTAATGGGTTTTTAGTGGATTCCTCGTATTTTTTATATGTAAGATCGTGTCGTCTGTTAATAGTTTCACTTCTTCCTTTCTAATCCGAATGCCTTTTCTTTTTTTTTGTCTAAATGCTTTGTCTGGAACCTCCAGTAGAATGTTGAATAGGAGTGGCAAGAACAGACATCTTTATCTTGTTTCTGATAAAGAAACAAGGGGGAAAGCGTTCAGTCTTTCATGATTAAGTGTGACATTAGTTGTGGGTATGCTTTTATCAGGCCGAGGAAGTTGCCTTCTGTTCCTAGTTTGTTGAGTGTGAAAGGGTTTGGGTTTTGTCAAATGCTTTTTCTGTGTCTGTCGATATCATCATGTGACTTTTATTTTTATTCTATTGATACGTGTTGCTATCAGTTAATTTTCAGATGTTGAACCAACCCCGTATCCCTGGGATAAATTTCACTTTGTTGTGGTGTATAATTCTTTTCATATGTTGCTAGATTTGGTCGGCTACTATTTTGTGTCCATATTCCTAAGAGGTAATGGTTTATCGTTTTCTTGAAATGTCTTTGCCTGGTTTTACTATCTGGGCAATGCCTCATTGAATGAGTTAGGCAGTGTCACCTCCTTGTCTATTTTTTGCAAGAGTTTGTGAATAACTGGTATTAATTCTTCTTTAAAAGTTCGGTGGGATTCTTTGGTGAAGCCGTCTGGGCCTGGGCTTTTCTCTGTGGGTACTTTTTGGTTTGTTTTTGTTTTCACTTCTTCAGTCCCATGACTTGTTACAAGTCTGTTAGATTATCTACCTCTCGAGTTAGTATTGGTAGTTTATGTCTCTCTAGGATTTGTTTACTTCATCTAAATTATCTGATTTGTTGGGGTACAATTGTTCATCGTATTCTTTTATTTATAATCCTTTTTATTTCTGTAATGTCAGTAGTAATGCCCCCTCTTTCATTTCTTCCTTTTTTTAAAAAAAATTAATTAATTTATTTATTTTTGGCTGTGTTGGGTCTTCGTTTCTGTGCTGAGGGCTTTCTCCAGTTGCGGCGAGCGACGGCCACTCTTCATCGCGGTGCGCGGGCCTCTAACTATCGCGGCCTCTCTTGTTGCGGAGCACAGGCCCCAGACGCGCATGCTCCGTAGTTGTGGCTCACGGGCCTATTGCTCTGCGGCATGTGGGATCTTCCCAGACCAGGGCTCGAACCCGTGTCCCCTGCATTGGCAGGCAGATTCTCAACCACTGCGCCACCAGGGAAGCCCCACCCCTCTTTCATTTCTGATTCTGGTAGTTTGAGTCTTTCCTCTTTGTCAATTCCATTGATCTTTTGAAAGAACCAGCTTTTGGCTGAATTGATTTTCTCTATTGTTTTTCTATTCTCCATTTCATTAATTTTCACTCTAATATTTATCGTTGCCTTCCTTACGCTTGCTGTGGGTTTAGTTTGCTCTTTTCCCAGTGTCTTAATATGGAAGGTTAGCTTATTGATACAAGATCTTTCTTCTTTCTTAATATAGTTATTTACAGCTATAAGTTTCCCTCTAAGCATTGCTTTAGTTGTGTCCCATAAGTTTTGGTATGTTGTATCTTCGTTTCCATTCATCTCAAAGTATTTTCTGATTTTGCTTTTGATTTATTCTTTGATCCATTGGTTATTTAGGAGTATGTTGTTTACTCTTCCCATATTCATGAATTTCCCAACTCATCTTTTTTCTGTTACTGATTCTGATTTCATTGTTTTTCTTTTGTTGTTGTCTTTTTAAAAATTTTTTTGCAGTACGCGGGCCTCTCACTGTTGTGGCCTCTCCCGTTGTGGAGCACAGGCTCCGGACGTGCAGGCTCAGCGGCCATGGCTCACGGGCCCAGCCGCTCCGTGGCATGTGGGATCTTCCCGGACCGGGGCACGAACCCGTGTCCCCTGCATCGGCAGGCGGACTCTCAACCACTGCGCCACCAGGGAAGCCCAGTTTTTTTCTTTTTTAAATTAAGGTTGCTTTCTTGTTGTTGTTGTTATTTATTTATTTTATTTATTTATTTTTAGCCACGTTGCCTCTTTGCTGCTGTGCTCGGGCCCTCTCTAGTTGCGGTCAGCAGGGGCCGCTCCTCACTGCAGTGAGCGGGCTTCTCATTGAGGTGGCTTCTCTTGTTGCTGAGCACAGGCTCCAGGCGCACAGCCCTCAGTAGTTGTGGCACGTGGGCTAAGTAGTTGTGGCTCACGGGTCCAGATGGCTCTGCGGCACGTGGGATCCTCCCGGACCAGGGCTTGAACCCGTGTCCCCTGCAGTGGCAGGCGGATTCCCAACCACTGCGCCACCAGGGAAGCCCTCATTCAGTTGTGATTGGAGAACATTCTGTGTATGATTTCTGTCCTTTCAGTTGCATTGAGGTCTCTTTTATGGCCGAGCCTACAGTCTATCCTGAAGAATGTTTCACGTGCCCTTGAGCAGAATATGTATTCTGTTGTTGTTGGGTGGAGTGATCTAAGGATGTCTATCAAGTCTAGTTCGTAGTGTGTTCAAGTCTTCTGTTTCCTTGTTGATCTTCTGTCTGCTTGTTCTATCCATTATTGAAAGTGGGGTACTGAAGTCTCCAACTATTATTGTTGAATCAGATACCTTTATTTTTAAATTTTTATTATGGAAAATTTCAAGCACATATGAAAGAAGAGAGACTAGTATAATGTTCTCATCACCCAACTTCAGCATTTATCAACATTTTGCCAGTCTTTTTTTAAAATTTTTTTTGGCCACACCGCACGGCTTGTGGGATCTTAGTTCCCCAACCAGGGATCGAACCCAGGCCCTCAGCAGTGAAACCGCCGAATCCTAACCACTTGACCGCCAGGGAGTTCCCAACATTTTGCCCATCTTGTTGAATCTACCCTTCCTCACTTTTTTTGTTTTCTTTTTCCCCCAACTATTTTAAAGCATGTCCCAGATGTCGTATCATTTCAACAGTAAATGCTTCTGCGTATGACTCTAACAGATAAGGATGTTTTTAAACCAAGCCCCAACGCCATTATCACACCTAGCAGAAATTAATAATTCCCCAGTACTTTCTAGTCCTCAGTCCTCTGTTCATTTGTCCCCAGCTGTCCAGGCAGCCTCCTCAAGGCCCCTGTGTGTTTCACAGCAGGAAGGCAAATTGGAGGGGGTCTTTGGAAGGGACGACTTTGGCCAGAGTTGGGGGGTGTGGGTCCTCATGAGCTCCTGTTTGGTCTGTTTCAGGAACAAATGTGGTATCTGGGGCTGGCGGTCTGAGAAGATGGAAACCGTTAGCGGCTACGAGGCCAAGGCAGGAGAGGCTAGTGGTGGGAGCTGGGGTAGGAGACGAGGCCCAGGAAATCAGCCCCTTCTCCACATCCACCCTGTGTGGAGGGAGAGACCCAGCAGCCCGTGGGCTCCGGATGCCCTGTGTGGCCATGGGAACTCAGTGGGGCCCGAGTGCCCAGCCCCTGCTGAGCACGCAGGGGTTACCCATAGCACGGGCCCCTACCGGGATCACTGAGATGAAGCCAGGAGCATTTTACCCTCATTAGTGACTTCCCGGGGTTCAGACCCCACCCGCTCCACTGTGGGGAGCGAGATCCTATCTGTCCCTGGGGACAGGAGGACTTGGGTCCTGTGCTGGTGAGGCTGAGTGTGGGCAGCAGGCTCTGAGCCCCCAGCTCCCCCTGTGTCCCCCCTGCTCCCCAGGTGTACAGCGCCACCAATGTGGAGCTGGTGACACGCACACGCACGGAGCACCTCTCCGATCAGGACAAGTCGAGGAGCAAAGGTAAACCCAGGTGCGCCTGCCTGCTGCCCAGTCACACGGTACGGGGTGGTCACCCTGATCTGGGGTCAGGGCCAGAGTATCTGGGACCAGCTGGAAGCCTTCCCCGTTCCCGTCTGCTCCGCCTTCCACCACAGGGGAGGCTCCCGGGGTGGAGGCTAGGTGTGGGCAGTCTGGGGGCAGTGGCCCCAGGTCCCCTCATGGGCTCCACCCCTTCTCCTTAGGGGGGAAGACTCCATTCCAGTCCTTCCTTGGGATGGCCCAGCAGCACTCCTCCCACAATGGGGTGAGCCGGGGCTGGGGGGCGGGGACTGGGGGCCGACTGGCAGGGTCCACTGGGCGGGGCCGGGCCGGCGCCTCCCCAGCACTAAGCCTGGTCCCGGGGCCACCCAGGCTCCTGTGCAGCAGGCAGCCAGCCCCACAAACCCCACCGCCATTTCCCCCGACGAGTACTTTGACCCCAACTTCAGCCTGGAGTCGAGGAACATCGGCCGCCCCATTGAGATGTCCAGCAAAGTACAGAGGTGAGGTCTGGGGGCTGGCGGGGGGCTTCCCTCTGGGACAGGGGACCCTGCCTGGTGCCCCCGAGCCCTTGCAGACCCTGTCACACACAGGGCCCCCTGGAGTGGGGGACTCACTCACCCAGCTGGCTGCCTTCTCGACTTCACTCCCTGGGGGCCGGGGCCAGGTCTGCTTTAGCCATGGTCCTTGGCACCCAGCTCGGGGCTTGACTCAGAGGACTGGTCGCTCTTCTTGGTGAACGAATGAACGGGCAGCACCACCCATGTATGGTTTTCTGTTCAACTGAACGAGCACCTGCTGGGGGCCAGCTTGTGGCAGACAGGAAGGGCACGCAGCTCTAACACCTCCTGGCTTTGTGGCCCAAGGAATCACCTTCCCCTCTGAGAGTCTATTCTCCCCCTCAGTAAAACGAGAACAGTTGCCTTTGGCCACCTGCTCACAAGGGTGCTGTGAGGCACGTCTGGTGGGCCCAGCACTGTGCCAGGAACCTCACGTGGACTCCCTCAGCCACGCAGCAGCAGGGCTGGGATGCGACCCCAGCAGTGCGGCCCTGAACTGTCGGGCTGTGCGGGACCCCAGAGTACGGTGAAGTGCGACGTGCTGGCTGGCTGTGGGCCGAGGAGGAGGGCAGGGCTGTGGACGAGGCGGGACTGAAGCCAGGAGGTCAGCCCTGCCCTCCTCGTCCAGGAGAGCTGAGCTGGCACAGAGCGCCCGGGGCCCAGCCTGAGCCCAGGGCTGGGGGGGCAGCTCAGGCTGTAGGGCCAGAAGGACATAAGCTCCTGGGGGAGGCAGGCAGGAGCAGCTGAGCAGAGAAGAGGGTCCCCCAGGCCAGGTGGAGAGCAGTAGAGGCAGATGTCCAGAGTAGGTGCACCTTAGCATCCTTGACCCACGTCCTGTGGTTGGCCGGGCAGGTTCAAGGCAACACTGTGGCTGAGCGAGGAGCACCCGCTCTCCCTGTGTGACCAGGTGATGCCCATCATCGACCTGATGGCCATCAGCAACGCTCACTTTGCCAAGCTGCGCGACTTCATCACCCTGCGCCTCCCGCCCGGCTTCCCGGTCAAGATTGGTGAGAGGGTGGGCTGGGCAGCAGGAGGGCCCCCGGAGTGGGGTGGGCACGGGCTGCAGGGCTGGCTCAGGCTCGACATCTCCTCACAGAGATCCCCCTTTTCCACGTGCTCAACGCCCGCATCACCTTCAGCAACCTGTGTGGCTGTGACGAGCCCCTGAGCTCGGTGTGGGTGCCAGTGCCCGGCTCTGCCATCGCAGCTTCAGGTACCGCCATGGGCGGGCGCGGGGCCGTGAGGTTCGCTGGTCTCTGCGCACCAGGGGCTGAGCACGACCCCTCTGCCGCACCCAGCGAGCCCCTTCCCCTGTGAGGTGGACCCCACCGTGTTTGAGGTGCCCGACGGGTACAGCGTGCTGGGCGCAGAGCGCAGCGAGCCCCTTCGCGACGAGGACGACGACCTGCTGCAGTTTGCCATCCAGCAGAGCCTGCTGGAGGCGGGCACGGAGGCGGAGCAGGTGGGGTGCGGGCAGGAGCTGGGCCCTGGGCCCAGGCAGGTGTGGCAGAGGTGACAGCTCTGGGCTCTGGCTGCTGCAGGTGACTGTCTGGGAAGCCCTGACCAACACCCGGCCTGGTGCCCACCTTCCCCAGGCCACGGCTTACGAGGAGCAGCTTCAGCTGGAGCGGTGAGGCCCTCCGGGACCTGCCAGGTCCATGTCTCAGCCCCGCCCTGCCTCGAGGACCCTGCCGGCCTGGGGGGTTCTTGGCTGGCGGGGTCAAGTAGCAGGGAGGTGCTGGCCCCAGGACCCCACACCCTCTCTGAGGCCACCCTCCATCTTCCGTGCTGCCCACCAGCGAGGGCGGCACGAGGGTTGGGGAGACGGGGCCCGGCCTTGTCTCTTGTCTCCGGTCCTCGGGTCCCAGCCTCCCTATGCTTATCTTTGGCCTCTGCAGCCATGTCCCAGCCCTCGGCCTCCTCCCCAGCCTTAGCGCTCACGGGTCTGCTCTCCCCTCTCATGCCTCGCCTGGAAGGGCCCTCCAGGAAAGCCTGCAGATGTCCACAGAGCCTGAGGGTCCGGGGGCCCCTCGCAGGGCGCCCCCGAGCTTTGAGGAGCAGCTTCGCCTGGCCCTGGAGCTGTCTGCGCGGGAGCAGGCGGAGTGGGAGCGGCGGGGGCGGCGGGAGGAGGAGGACCTACAGCGGACCCTACAGCGCTCGCTCACGGAGCTCTGAGCCCCGCCCTCAGGAGGGCTGCGCCGCCACCCACTTTTGTAACTTATTTATTTATAGACACTCTGCTGCTGCTGGGCTTGGGGCCTGGAGCCCTGCGGGTGGGCTTGCATTGGAGACTGAGATGGAAATAAAGAGACCCTCAGCAGCAGGCTTGCTCCGCTCATTGCGGGGGCTGGGGGGGGCAGTGCTGGGGGGCACCGAGGGGAGACACTGTGGGCAATGGCCTTAGACTTGGGTTTGAATCCTGACCGTGGTCCCCTTAGCCCCTCTGAGCCTCAGTGTCCTCAGCTGTGAATGAGACCGCCTCCCACCGCCAGGGCTTCTGGGAGGGTAGAATGAGCCGACAGGTGTCAGGTGCCCTAGTAGGTGCTCCGTGAACGTGAGTTCCCCCGAGCCCTATCCCACCTACTGGAGACTCCGCTTCTTCCAGCCACACAGTCTGGCTTTCCGGGAGCCCCCCCCTGCTCGTGTCAGGGACGGGGAGAGGCTGGTTCTCCGGACTCTGCCGGGTCAGAGGAGGCCCTGCGCCCCAGGCCTGAGTTCCTGACCTGACTCCAGCAGGTTCTACTGCAGTGACATTAGACAAGTCACTTCCCTCTGCCGCCGCCGTGAACCTGCTCAGCCCTGCCCTGCTCACCTCCGAGGCGGTCCTGAGGACCTGCTGTGAGCCTCAGGGGTTAGTTCTAAACCCACCCTGATATCCCCTGAAGCTTCGAGTGTCTCTCAGTGATTCATGCTGAGTGGGAGCGCCAGGGCCAACCGGCAAGGAGAAAGAAGTTTGGGGTGCTTCCCACTTAAGACCCACGGGTTCTGGTCCTCTCCAAGACCCGGGTCCTCAGTCCTTCCTCCCTAGGTCCCATCTCTGCTGCTAGCAGAACGGTTGAGGCCCAGAGCACAGCTCAGGTGACCTAACTGGGCGGAGCAGGGAGGACAGGGGCAGGGGCGCCTCCCGTGAGAAGGGACCGAACCCTGAACCCAACGTAGGCTGCCCCTTCCCGCCGCCGTTGCCGGGCTCCGCACCTGCGCTCCGCACCTGCGCCCCGCCCCCAACGTGTTTCGGGGGGCGGGGACGAGGCGGACCAAACCTGTGGAGACGCGAAGGGAGGGGCGGTGGCCACTGCTTGAGGGCTCCTCAGGCCGGGCTGGACGGGTGTCTGGCCCTTTAAGGGCCGCCCTCGAGGAGGTGCCAGGCCCTGGTGGCTCCGGACTCTCCTTCCTGGTCCTGCGGGGCAGGGACTGTCCGTGGGGCTGGGGGAGGGTGCTGTGCCCCTGCCGGCCCAGGTGCCCCCGGTCTGGTCCCATGGCCCTGGTCACAGTAAACCGCTCGCCCCCGGCCGGCGGCCACTCCACGCCTGTGGGGCCCACGGTGAGTCTGGCTTTGCTGTGGTCCTGCCCACGCAGCTGGCTGCCAGTTGGGCCTGGGGGAGTGTTTGCTGTCCACGGGCAGCCTCCCCTGAAGCCTGGGGGTGTGCGGAGGGGGCTTCAAGTCTCAGGCTGTGGGGGGGGGGGGTGGGGGGGGAATCTTGA